GGGTCTTGGATCGGAAGAAACAACCCGATATAATTAGTCGGATTCTAAGATGCCGATTTCAAAGCTGCTTTTAAGTGCCTTGGAGCGATTCTTTGAATGAGGTTGCTTTCATTGTCTGAAAGAGTCGTATCTGAAGAAATGTCTCATATTGAATGGCCACATCAAATTAAGATCCACTCCCCTGCGGCGGCATATTACGTTAGCGAAGGGATCATTTTCTAAAGTTTCTGGACGATGAGCGTTAACTTCGTTTTTGGCAGAACTTCAAAGATTCAAGTTCAGAAGCACAATCCACCATCAAAGAGGGCTTATGAGAACAATAAACGTGAAGTCCTCTTAGTAGGTCTTTTTCATAGCGATATCAACGCATATTGATTGCAAGTTTTTCAAAAAGCTGTTCCTTTCTTAACTGATACTATAAAGCTCTACCTGCTTCGTTAGGAATGGGATAGCCGAAGTGGGTGGGTCGTAAAACTTTTCAATATTCAAGGTATCCTCACTAGAAAAAGCTGCAGACTAGTATACTAGAGAGAGAGATAGAGACTTTGCAGAGGAGTAGACGTCAGGCTCACTTTTGTAATCACATTAAGAACAGCCGATGTAAGGCCGAAGCTTATTCTGCTTACTGCTTTATCAGTAGTTGACGTATTGATTGATTTTTTGTGATAGCACTATGACGAGATGTTTCCCAGTTTAGAACATTTGATGAATTTCTTCATTCTGTTTGTTCAATTCATTCCAATGTAATCAAAGCTCATCCCATATTATGATGATACGGTCATGTACTTGACATACTTGTTCTACTAACTCATCAGATCGGGCTTTATTTGGTAGGCGACTATATTCATTCGTAGACCGGAACCTTTGTGGAATAACTTTGGGCATAGTTCAGCTAGGCTTCCTCTTTGCACCACTATGTACTCATGATCAGCACGTAGTAAACTGTTTAAAGCCAGTTTTTATAACGTACTTACTGATCCAACGGAACGGCTGGAGCAATTTGAGATTTTTTGAAAAAACCGAAGTATGTTATACTTTGAAGGAGTCATTCCTCAAAGTCGCTTTGAAGTTGTTGCCACGGTAAGGTTCATGAGATCTGCAGATGCCCTCCAAATCGATGGAGGGAGTAAAAGAAATAGACCTCTCTGCATCTGAAAGGATTCAAGGCTAGTTGTAGCTTTCATCGAGAGATGGGGTCTCACTACCGAGTTTCGCCAGCATGAATTTCATTTAGGAGCCCGCTCGACCTTGGCAACCCTCTCTGGAAAGTGCCTCGTGTTCGCCACGAATTCAATACACTTTTCATTGGTGAATACATTTGAACGTGTGCTTGGTGATCACACCACTATCAAATTATTTCATGTAGTATTTTTGGGCCGCTAGAGCTCCAAGGAACCATCACCCTAATGTTATTTGCTGAGGGCTCTATCTCCATCTCCTGAAAGTTGAACGCAACTATTTCGAAATGGCTTTTCTCAATGATAGGAATTCTTCAAACGATTTTATAGTCAAGATCAGTACCACGAGCGCGTATTTATACGCGCATAGATCTTAATAGAAAGTCTAAAAATGATTTGTTCATGACCTTCAGATTACCTGATTGGATGGTCTTCGACCACCCGCCTTTATGTCCAGCATCGAAGGAGCAAAATGCTAAGCGCCATTCGAAATCGAGGAACTGACAAAAAATTAGGGAAAACGTGAAATGTGGAGAGCACAGGCGGCGAAAGCTGACGTTGACAAAACGAGGGAACCACGGCATCGACTGTAGATCATGAGGGCAACCACACCCCGGATCAGCGGAAAAGCCAAGATCAAAACATCCCCATCGTGGATTTCAATAGAAGTTATGCAAAGTTATGCAAAAACAGCTTGATGCGCAGAGCTTCAGGTAGTGATTACAAGGAAAAAGTGCTTTACTCTCCTAGCCGTCGAAATTCATGGGAAAAAGTGAAGCAATTCTTTTAGATCTGATGGTCTGGAAGGGAATCTGTTCATTCACAATCAACATAAAAGTTGTGAGCAGTCGTAGTGGGTATATATGTGTGAAAATGTTTTGAGAAGATTTATTCCTATTTCTCCTATCTCTTTCGCGGGCTTCCATTTAGACTAGCCGACCGTTGTCTCCACACATATGCCGTAGGAAATGAAACAGAATTCTCTAGTTTATAGCTACTGAAAGTAAAATTTCAATTTCCTTGTTTTAGGAATATATTCCATGCGTCGATGCGTCACAAATCCTTTTATTCGGTGGTGGCATTTGAGGGGTACAGTTAGATCCAGGCCCTGAGTAGCAGGAGCCAGAGACCGAAGTGGTGTAGTGGTGTTTTTTGAGATGTTTGTTTATAGTAGTTTTAGATGGCTCCGTTTCCATAATATTCCAGAACCACTTCTTGATTCAAGCATCGCTCTTTTTTCGGATAGTCCTGTACAACTCAGCATGTTTCGAGAAAAGGCGAATGATAAAGAATAGAAACACCTGACCATTTTTAGGCACTGCTTACATCAGCATTAACTCCTCTTCAAGGATGCCTTTCTATCCTGACTTTCCTAGAAAGTGACTCATTCCTCATGAACAGCACCAGCTATTTTAGAAGAAATCCTAGGCGTGACCTTATTTCATCAAGAATTATTACTTCTACGAAACGAATATTTTGTATTGGGTGACGAATATTTGTTTTTGTTTTCGCACCAAGAAAGAAATTTTCAACAAAATGTTCTCACTGATGAACTTTACCTTGAAATGCGTCATTCACTGCGTTTCCATGCAAATCATATCGGAATTGAAGTGTGTGGTCGAACGGAAAGAGGACCAAATATCAAAATAAATGTAATTTGCCGAAGAAAACTTCAAAGCGCCTCGCTGCTGTTTGCTGTACTGGCATGTTCGGTCCCGTTTCCACCTCATTACCCTATTTCATCAGATGAACTCAGAGACGGCTTTTGGTCGGCTGAAGAAGCTTAGCTTTAACGGTTTGGGAGACAAGAGTCGCTCATTCAAATTCCATTCACGTCATCTCCATGTTTTTATCATAGGTTAATCCCTTGGTGTTTATCGTTCTCATGTTTCAGATAAGCCACATACTCCGCTCTTACAAAAGATCATTATGGCGTTTCAATGCATACAAAATAAAGCCTAAATATATCTGCAAGGAGCTATTGTAACCTGATTGAACTATTCAAATTTCCCGGAAGTTATTGAGAAAGAGCTTCATTAGCAGATTGAATGTTGTCCTTATCTCCAATTAGTTCTATAGGGTAGTGAGCGGAATCGGGGACGAACAGAGATGTCCAGGGTAGAGAAGAAGTGCAATGAAAGGGTAGTTTCCCAACCTCGAGAGGTTTTGCTTCTCAACTCTGAAGTCTCCTCCATGTCCATGGTTTTACCTCATTACCCTGAAACAAGAGCTGAAGATACGGGGAGATGGCAAGGGCTGATGGAGCTTTACTTCCCGGTAGTTCCAGCGGCTTAGGCGTGTCCCCTTCACGTCATCCGTCTACATCTGATGAGGTTTCAAGGCATGTAGGCGAGACTGGGAAGGGGGAAGCTGGGCCATCGATCGTGGGCGGCGGCCGGCGGCGGCCGTGGCGGCACTGCTCATTCAGCCGCCGAGCGTCGAGATGACGGCCGGCGCCGTCATGTTCCTCTCTCTGCTCGTCTGTGCCATCTTTAGTGAGACATTTTCCGCTTCTGTATCCGAATGGGAGGACTACCATGATCATGAGGCAATGCTCGACAAAATGCTCGACATTGTCCAGAAATGTCCTCAGGTGAGCCTTATTGAGCCTATGTAGGGCCAACTACCAATTCTGACGTCATTTGGGTGTAATTCCATTGGAAAGCGAGGAAATGGAGCGGAGGCTCCTAGCGAAGTGCCTCAGTACATCTGCTGCTCTATCCAGTTTATCTACATAGGTATTGTGAACTTCTTGAGTACCCAGATGCTCGGCCCTGTAGAAGCCAAGAATTTCGAAATGGTTTTTTACCGCGTATCTTTTTCATCTGAATCGAATTCTTCTCCAACATGGAGATGAATTGGTATGAGTATGAAACAAAGAGGGTTTACCCCTTCCGTGCCCTGATTATTCCCTCTCCGTCATGTTCTTTTGTTCTGCTTTTCAGTTATATTGCCTCGCTAGCTGTTTCGCCTGTTTTTAAGCAGGTTCATTTGTGATGCATGACGTAAGGCTGTAAGTAAAGCAAAAGACTGGCCAGCGAACCGGAGATAGCAATTTGGTCGGCGAGTGTGAATGTTATGCTTTCTTATCACCATTAAGCTTTGCTGACTCACGTGCTTCTCGCGAACCCCCTCGAAGTAAGTCTTGAAGTGAAATTAAGCCTTCGATCGATGCCCAAGTCCTCAAGTTTTACAATTACGCCGAGAGGAAATAATAATTTCCGAAGTAATTGGCAATTTCGGAATCATCTGTTCTGCTGCAAAGTCACCTACAAACCAATCCATTCTACTACCTGCTCTACAACCTCTCCAAATCCATCCAAGTATCCATTGGCTAGTGATAGTGGAATCTGCTTAATTGGCGTTATTTCCCGATTACTGAATAATCAGTGACTAACTCATGGCACAAGGGCTGCTCTGCTACTCTGCCAGTTACCCCACAGAGTGTTTATCCTGAGATGGCTTTCCTTCGTTATGTGTCCTTTCATGGGCCCATCAAGCTTTCCGTGGAAAACCAATTCGCTGATTTGCCTTGACAGAAACGTTTTCCCCGATTTCGGAGGTCTTCGAAGAGTTTCCGTGCCATGCGGAGGTCCCCTTTTTTGAGCTATCTCTTCGAGTGGAGCAAGTAAAAGTAATGGTGGGGATGGGAAAGGGAAATCGATGAGTAACTCGAATAATCTCTGAGAAGTTAATCGGAGACGTCGTTAAACATGGATTAGGGTGTTTTTTTTCGATTAGTGATTCAAATTCCTGACTTTGTCCTGATCGCTGCCAAAACGGCCTGCACAACTCACAACTTTACAAGTTCCATGTCCCTGAAGTGCAGCTACTGTAAAGGCTTTACTTCTTATACAGTCCTGTCGGGAAGATCAACTATTATTCAAATGTTATGAGTAATTCCCAGAAAAAGTTGCTCCTTCAACTGATTATATGCTATTTGACTACCTTTTTCGGTCTGTTGTCTGAACAATTATCTATTCAACAATTTCATGGTTTGTTTACTCGCTTATCATACTCGAATATCGGGGGATGAGGTCCTCAAATGTTCTCAAGCGTGATCAGAGCTGGCCTGGAGCTCCCAGTAATAGCAGTTACTTGGCCAATTCAGTTGTGGGAAGCTCTTCTGGAAGTAGCTTTCAAATTCAATTATGTGGCGTTCGTCGCTTGAACGGTTGCTCCGAAAATGGGCCTGAAATATAGCTTACTGCTGATGACGCCATTTACCAATTATTTTGCATTTTAATTGCCTTTACTGTGGAACGGTCATTAGAACTTTTTACAGGACCGTGCTGATTCCAAAGACTCTGTCCAGGATTCTGGATTTATTGTAATTAAAGGGTTTTTTGGGAATCGTGATCAAAAGGGCAAGGGGAAGGTCTGATTCATGATGGATTTATTGTCGACTTTTTCTAACAGCTAGGTTCTTAGACAAATAGTGGAACTCAAATATCGAAAACGACCCCATTTCATGAAAAGATGGGAAAATTATTTATTAGATTGTTTGTTTACTGTGAGAACAACCAGTGATGTAAAAAAGAGTCATGTCTCAAACAAATCCATTTCTCTGAAACGATTACACGGCTGAAACGCTCCCGAAACGGATCTGTGGGAGGAAATGAAATTTTTGAAAGCAGGAAATAGCACAAAACAGGAACTGAAGAAGAAAATGGACCAAATCAGAATGGCAACGAGGAGTCCCATGCCTTTGTCTTTTCACAAACAAACTTCTACTGTAACCGTTTTCAATACAATTATTGCCCATACAAGGAATATATGGATACTCCTACAGCTGCCCACACTAACCTGCTGAGCTGACAATTCGAAGGGATTCATTATAGTTTTGACTAGGAATGTTGTTTTGCTTGAAAGCTAAGGGAATTAGTGCGCCTCCAAAGTTCAGCACCGTAATCCGCTTGAAAACATTTATTAGTTGGTTAGTTAGCGATAATTAAATCAACAATTCAAAATTTACCAAACATGATTACTCCTTAGATGTTGGTATTCTCGGGAGCGCTGGGAAATTTGATGTTTTTCCCTACAACCCTTGTTTCTCAAAAACATAGGAAATAATTCTAATAATTAATCGAGAATGGTGGTCGAAATCGAAAAAAATAAGAATACTAAATAAAATAAGAATTAGTAGAATAGAAATAGAAAATGGAAAATGTGAATTGGTACATTTTCCCAAGAAGCTTTCAAGCTTTATTACCAGTTGTAGCAGTATGAAGCCCATGGGCGCATACATAGGTATAGGCATGTCGTCTTTTACCTCCTATCTTGTGAGTACGAAATCGTGGGACGGTCTCACTCCTTGGTCAACCACTTGTCAAGCCATCATCCTGTAGCTCTGGATCTCCTACCCTCTACATGGTAGCCCAACTTAAGGCCGAAATTTGGGAAAAGCCCTTTCGTTCCTGAATTTTCGGTTTATCCTTCAAAGAAATCCATAGATCCGAAATATGTAGAGAATAACAACATGTTATAGCTAAAAGATAATATTGCTGAAGGCGTAATCGAGCTTGTAATTGATCAGTTTCAATGAATTTCATGTGTACTTGGCTGAATGTTTCCAATTATGTCACGGTCGATTGGTTCGCTGTCGTCACAACTACTACAACTTTTTTTCCAAATACTCGTGAAAGTACAACAGTGGGCGTGGTTGGGGCCATGCTCACTGGGAGCTACGACAACAGTGGGCGTGGTTGGGGCCATGCTCACTGGGAGCTACGGTAATCGAGCGCAGCTTCCCAGCTGATTCATTTACGTAATACACTTGAACAAAATCAATCATGTGAGTTTGAGATGTATACCAATTGGGAAAGGGAAATGGTTAATGTAAGAAAAAGTTATCATCGGTTTTTTGCGTACTGAAGGGTATTTATAGGGAACTATGGCTGACCGACTCATAGCCATGCTCGAGAAAACAACCAGACAAAAGGAATATTTCCAGATTCGCAATGCCAGCGACAACAAAACAAAGGGGTATTAAGAGAAGAAATGAAGACAGTCATCATTTTTGCTACGGTATGAGCAGGGCGTGAAACCCTTGCTCAGACTCTGAGTCTTGGTGGCATACGCTGACCCTTCATCCCTTTGCAGGTTCCGTTAGCCACTTATTCACCTTCTATAGGGCTAGGCAAATTTATTATTAGCAATTTGTCTCTAAATGAAGTAAAGGAATGCTTTGGATGTTTACGAATAAGCAGCCTTTTGCTACTTAGGCACAATTTGGGTAACGAAGCTACTTACTACTACATACTACCGCGCCATCTATGTGGCAAGCATCAAAAACAGCTACGTTTGGTTGTTATTTTGTAGGATATATCCTGATAGAATATGAAAAACTGCAAAGGAAACAAAATTCGATAGAGATGAA